TAAGCAAATTAAACCATTCAAACACTATCGTCCGGGTTCAAGGAAGAATCATGACATCTCATGATTAAATTCAACATTCTCCGGAAGTCACAAAACTGAATTCTGAGATAGTATTAACTGAACTTAAATTATTTTCAGCAGAGTTCGACAATGAGACAAAAGTTGTTACCGGAGGTGAATCCATATCAATGAGTTTAGTGGGAGAGGACATAACGAGAAAAATAAACCAGCATATCGTGTGAAATGATAAACAATATAACAGTTAGGATAAACACGAGGCTCACCAAATAATTGTGGTGGACCAAAAAGTATATTAACCAAACATTAGCAATAAAATTATTACGTCCAAAAGTTAATATAACACTAATAATTTACAAATTAGTAACACAAAATAAAAGTTCAGGGACGTTACTTAAATCAGCTAGTTGTCGCGTATTCCGTTGAGTTTTTGTACCAAAATCGACAATTATAAATGAGTAATAACTCCGATGAGGTATATATAACTCCAGTAAGTTTTCTTGACGTAGGATGTAATAGTAATGGCACAACAGTCTAAAATGTGGATAATATTCGATTTAGAATGCAATTGGCTCAATAACGATTGAGAATAGAACAAGGAGTGTGTGCGTAGTAGTGTATTTGCGAACAATCACAAGTGTGTCACGCTATGTTAGTAACACAACGGAAAAAGTGCTCAAGGTCATTCACTAAAACAACAGGTACAGTCATTTAATGACAAATGTACATAAAGTGAAAAATTGACAAAATAAATACAAATAACATTAAAAACTATTTACAAATTAGGCTTGTCAGAGCTATCTTCACATAGCTCCCCCCCCAGAGTGTCCGGAGGTAACACTGGTTATAAGAAAAAAAATGTAAGAATATGATATATACATATATACAAAAATAATATTTACAGTTATAACCAACAAAAATTGTGGAGATGGATATGACATATACGTTATTAAGATGCAGTGTGTTATCGTTTGAGAATAGCAGTGATGTAGCATAGCGTAACAGATACAAAAAAAAAGATGAAAACACTGTCATTTAATGTCTTGTTTGGCTAACAATGATAATAATGTGCAAAATTGTTAATTACCCACGAAAAAAAATTGAACTGTCTATTTTTGTGTACAATAAATGAATAATTAAATGGAGTTTACTCGTTTATTATTGTGACAAAACAACAAATTTTTTTATATGAAAAAATGTGACAAAACGAATAATTGTGGAAAGAATGTGATTAATTATGTACACTGTGAAAAGAAAAAAATTTTTTGGGTGAGATTGATAGTGTAGGTCCTCGATAATTGTTTGCTTTGATTGCTTTACTTTTTTATACAGCAAAATGTACATCACACTTTGGTTTCTTTTATAAGTCTCTCAGAACGTGTTAAACAAGAGGGTGTAGTGCTAAGTTTTTTCATCCTCCTCTTGTTTCTTAGCAATTGATGGGAGTGATTGTTTGTTCGCAGTATTGTCTTCTGTGTTTCGACGGACTTCGTAGAAAGCTGGTTTTATTCGATCTATGGAAATTGTCTCTTGTTTCCATTTTTGTTGATAATGAAATATCTGTGGGTGCGTTTTATTACTTTATAAGGGCCTACATATGATGGTGTCAGTGGCTTTTTTACAGCGTCTACTTGAACAAAAACAAATTCGCGTAGTAGTGTATTTGAGAACAGCCACAAGTGTGTAACGCTATGTTAGTAACAAAACGGAAAAAGTGCTCAAGGTCATTTACTAAAACAACAAGTCTTGTTGAAATACACTGTCACTACTTGTTCCATGTTACAAGTAAATCAGATGGTTAAGGCTTCTGTTTTGTGGATTAGATATAGATTTAGTTTATCACACCGCTAATCGTGAAAGTTATGAATCATAGGTCAGATTATGTGGTTTAGAGATGGTAATGATAGAAAGCAAATCAAAGAATATGCAAGAGTTTAAAATTGGAAAAAAATCTCGAAGTGAGAAAACAAAACATTGAGCTACTCACAAGAATTTAGAACATCATGAGCTTCTTATGATAGGTCATGGTTGATCATCATTCATGACATTAGTCAGTTATCTGTCTAAAAACTTCCAAATGACGGAAACTAAATGAGAAAAACTGAGCACAACCTTAGAGCCGTTCAGTGCAAAATCGCCAGACTGTACGCAGAAGAAACCACAATGGAATTGTATGAGCAAAACAATCTTCGCACAAGAACTCCTTTTCTGCAATTTACGGAAGATTTGCTAAATCAGGTCGACAAATGTATAAATCACATGCAAGCCAGTTACAACAACCGAATACCTTGAAAGGACCCTTGTGAGTTCGTTCCAATTTCGGTTGTTAATTATATTTCTTATGACGGCATTCTAGATCATACAGTCTGTGCCCAATACACAACTGGAAGGACTCATGATGGAGCTAAGTTGTACAACAGATCACGGGAATCTGAATGTCCATTAAAGCAGTGGTGGTTGTGGTATTTCCACTGACTAGTGACTCCTTTGTACCTGATTGAGCACTGATTAAAAATTTAAAACTAAATACATTCATTTGTGTTCATCCTTTTGTTTAATATAAATTTCACCATTCCAGGAATTCTTTGTTAGTACGTTAATTCAAATACTTTTTAGTATCATAAACTGATGTATTCGGTCCAAGTTAATACTCATGTTACCATGTTAAAAGCGCTGCATATATAAGATCAGTTTATTACCAGGAACTATTCTAATATTGAATTGACCTTGAAAACAAAACTCTGGTGATATTTTCAACAGTAGGGGATTGACGGCGCGTATTCTGTCGGTACTTAAATCGACATACCATCATCCTGAGCAGGTTCCAAGATTAACGCTTCACCTGGAAGAGGGCAAGGTGGAAACCGACTCCTCAAGACAGGTCTAGTCAAAACAAAAATTTAAAAAATGAGCGGGGAAAATTGTCAATGGGACGAATAAGAACCGATTTTCCCGGTCATGTTTGAAAAGTTGACCTCTGACATTTTTGACGGTTCTGTTATTTTCTAATGAATCAAGTAGAGCAACGCCTCAGAAACCGTGATTCGTTTCCGTCATGGTAATAGATTAGCTGTTCGCCTACATTAAGCACTAATACCTCATGATCTCACTAAATACATGACTGTGAAAGTTCATTGACTTAAAAGCCAGTAACAGCTTAAGAAAACTAAACTTAGTTACTCTAGTTCATATAAAAAACGTAAAGGGATTTGATGCTATAAAATGGACATAAATTGAATAAATTGTATTAGAGGTGGTTATCTGAAGCTAAAGGTCGGTGAAATGATGCAGCATTTTTTGCGGATGTGTAAAAGGAGATCACTTTATTACACACTATGTATTAATAGTCCCTCTTATCTCGCTAAATGTATGGTCACCACATTTCACTCCCTTCATTTTGTGTTTTACTGGTTCAAGATGAGTCTATTATTATTTGTCCTTATCCCACAATCGTTAGATCACTTCCCTTGCGCGAGGTTTTCTTAATTAACAATGTATTTTGACGGCTGCCTCATTATTCCATCATGGCCGGTTGTTCTCATGTTATCTGGTGAATTACCTTACCGATTGTGGTAGAACTACGCTCGTTGTTCCTTGGCAGCGGCTATTCTATTTGAAATGTTGAGCCCATCATATCCATGAGTACAAACTTTGCTGTACAGCCCATACGAAAAAACTTTTTAGTTACAGTGATAACACCAAAAGATTTTAATGATAATAATAATAATTTATTCTCCAATAACAGTTTGTTACATAAGGCATGCCAGTTTACGGGCAAAATCAAATTGTTATAAATGATACAATATCCACTGTAATAAACTACTCAGCTGGGTTGATAATTTATAAGATGTGAATGTAGATAGTTTTAGTCAGTACCACAGTTGGCGCGCTTCATGAAATTTGCGTTGCGAACGTGGTCAAGGATATATCCATTGAAGGTGGGAGCTTCTAGTAATCGCAACCTTATGTTCGTTTGGAATATCTAGGGCTTTAAGGATGGTGCATGGTGAAATCACCCGTTCCATATCTCAAGATGACTCAAAGAGGGAGCAAAGAAAAAGAAAGGGATGAGAAGCAGAGTAGCCAATATTCATGAAGGAATGTTTAAGGTACGATTACTCAGACTAATTTTCTTTCATTAAGGCATTCGTTAAGCAAGAGAATTTTTATAGGGTAAAGATTCTGGATTATTCACCAGGACAAATGAGTCGGGATTCGTGTATACTAATAATCTATAATTTTAAAAATTCTCAGCCTTTCTGAACGATCTGACTGCAGTAAATGTCTGTCAAAATATGCCCACTTTTTTGAAGTTTTCCAAAGAATAACATTTAGGCTGAGTTTCGGAACCGTAAACCTGGGACGTAATAGGAGAATAACTACAACAAACCCATTATCTTGGACATGGAGAAAAACGTTTATTGTTATCATTAATCACAAACAGTTCATTGGTACGTAGGTGGTGCGAAGAAACCATTTCATGTCTCCCCAGAAATACAATTGTACGTTATTTTAACATTGTTTATATGACGTTTGTTACATTCAAATAGGTTCTCCAGTATTAAGAATAATATTTAGTTGGTCTGGAGGAAGAGCGATGAAAATTAAAAAAATTGTTAATAACCGAATAAGCATGTTTATAAAACAGGATAATGATAAAAGTTAGTATATGTAGAGAGAAAGAGTTAAAAACAAATCATCAATATAGTGTGGAAGTATGCCTGACAAGCCTATTTTGTAAACAGTTTTTAATGTTATTTGTATTTAATTTGTCAATTTTTCACAGTATATTCATTTATCATTAAATGACTGTACGTGTTGTTTAAGTGAATGACTTTGACCACACTTTCCGTTGTGTAACTTCATAGCATGACATACTGTTGACTGCTAACAAATACATCGTTGCACATACATCCCTCGTTCTACTTTCGTTTGTGACTGAGTTAACTGAAATCTAAATCGAATATTATCTACATTTATAGACTGTGATTGGGAATATATCATACCTTGCATTGGATTACACTACTGGAGAGTTCATCAACCTGATTGGAATTACCAAAAACATTTATAATCGTGGATATTCAACATCAGACCAAATCCGAACACGCATCAATTTGGTGAATTCAAGTAAAGTCCCTATTTTCTATTGCATTTGTAACAATTAACTTATAGGCGAGACTCTAATATAGGGACGAGCCAATCAGAAGCGTTTGAGCAATTTCAAGGTCACGGAGCCAAGTTCAACAGGCGCTGCTAACATACGATCGGTTCACAGCAGATTTTAGAGAGTAGGTGCATAATGAGAATTGATTTTTTCACCCCTATTTCCACCATTCTGTTCAATTCACTTGCTATACGTCACTTTCTTTCATGCCACAAAAGAAAATGAAGACCCTGCTCCTAGGCGTTCAGCCAAACGTAGGAAAACGACACAATTTAACACCACTACTGACACGATTTCCAACAGTTTCAACGAGACGAGCCACTCCGTTCATCCGGAAGCAGACAAGCTTTTACCAGCTGTCTCCATTCCAGACATGTTGAAAACTCTGATGGTAAACAGTGATGATAATCGCAACTGCAACCATATGGATGCTATAAAAAAGTTGCAAGTAGACATGAACATTCTCAATCCGCTTAAATATCTCATCAACCCCAACCTCACAGAGACTCCAGATCAAATGAATGACATAAATATTTTCCTAGATCGTGTTGCATCGGAGGTATTTGAAAGAATAAGATAATCTAGCAATGCAATTGTGTTTAATATTCCGGATACAAATGCCCTTAAAAATATCAAATCTGGTCTTCTTCGAGCCAGCAATATGACACACGTACCATGTGTATGCACAAGATTAAAAAGAAGTCATCCTGGTATGCACTCACCGATCTTGTTCAAATTCAACTCATCTGTAGACGCCAGTGAATTTTTAAATTCCTCCAATTCATTGGGACAAAAGCAGATTTTCAAGGATATTAAGACTCTTCCGGATAAAACACCATGCCAGCGAAAAGCAGGAAGAAATAACTACAGACCATCAGCGTCAAACTCTCAAACGCATCATAATCCTAATGGTTGTAAAGTTAAGTCCGATTCTAAGAGGACGTCTAGCTTAACAACTTTGCCGCCACCGAAAAACTCTACTGAATCTCATAAAGTTCAAAACCCAGAAGAAAGTAATCCCGATGTAGGTAGTGTCCATCCTCTTAAAAATGTTGACTTAGATTCAACCCGAAGTAGTTGTGCTGATGAAGAATGGGATAACACAATCCAAACCGCTGTTAGTGCAACACCCAGTTACAGTAACTGTGCAATGGATAACAGGAAAACTAATCATAACACTCATATAACTGACCACGCACTTAACGTTGATATATTCGAACCTCGCAAACCATCGCAAGTATGTTTAACAGTACACAATCCTCTCCAACTTTTGAAGAAGCCGAAATCAACCACAAACCTTGGAAATAAACGTCTTAAACACGTTACCCATACGTCAGGTATAAATAGTTATCCGAATTGTAATTGGCCACTTGGTCACAACCATATACCTGATAGCTTTCTTGGTCCGGCTCCCAATATGTACAGTATGCCCTTATCAGTTGTTATATCCAATAGCAATGAGAAGACCTTTTTTGTAATTCCGCCGGCTTTCCTGCCGGCAACGGTAAACATATTTCACATGATGACAAAGTGGTTGAATCTATTTCCCCTCGCAACACGACTCTTACCTTAGCTAATCCTATGAGTATTCATGAAACTACCAATTGCGATTTATACTCTAACCTGCTTCATTATGATGACTCTGAGTTTCTTATTCTTTCGTTCAATGCCCGCTCTCTGTCTAATAAAATTATTCATCTTAAAACTCTTTTATTCCTTGTTAATCCAACCATTGTACTTATTACGGAAACGTGGTGTAATTCATCTATATCCGATCATTCCTTGAATGTAGATAACTACTTTTTCTTTAGAACCGATAGATGTTATGGAATAGGAGGCGGTACAATTATCTATGTCCGTTCAGACACTCAAGCGTGCAAACTTGAGGATAAATCCCTTGATGCTATAGACGACTCCACTTGGGTTACTGTAAACTGTGGATCCCAAAATTATTTACTAGTGGGATGTATATATAGACCACTTCATGCGGATACTAAGTTTGACAGATTACTAACAAACATATTTTCCATCCCTTTGCACCAACCGCATACTTTTAAAATCATCGGAGGCGATTTTAATCTGCCAAAAATTACATGGGGCTTGACTCCGGTACCAGGTCGATATAACAAGCTAGTTGAAACATTAGAAATTTGTGGATGGGTTCAACAGGTCCGAAAACCAACCAGGGGCAATAATACACTTGATTTAATGTTCACAATCAACATAGACTCTATCTCAGTGCATACCAGTCATGAGTTTTTTATGAGTGACCATAGAATTGTATTGAGTATTATTCACTCTTTAAACGCCATACAATTGAACTCTAAAGCTTCAATGACGTACCAGAGCAGACATTTTGATCAAGAAACATAGAAACGGATTGGAACTCTCATTCAATGTTTACCATGGGAAACTTATTTAACCACAAATAATGTTGACATTGCGCTTTCCAATCTATACCACAACCTGATATATTGTCTTGACTGCACTGCTCCAGTTATTGGCCGTGTGGCTTATAACGCTAATAGGGGCCAAAATACTTTTAAAAGAAAGCTGAGGAAATTAAAATACCGCTACTATGAGCAGAATGATGTGTATGCACTTCAGAGTATACTTAAATTAATCGACAGAAATGCTTCATCTAAACGTAAGTATTTCATGAATATAGAAAATAAATCTCTACGTAGTAAAAGCCCAGAATTATCAATACTTCGACTTTTTAAATCCCGTGTAAAGTCAAATTCCCTTGGCACGACTAAATTCTTCATAGTTAATGGAAGCATTGTTAAAGACCCGAATACTATAAGCGAACGATTCAGCAAGCACTTCTCGCAGTGCTACAAAACTGGGACTGAAAACTCCATCATTACATTTCCAATGCTGACATCCAGACATCGGTCGAAAATTGATTTTACACCCTCCAACATCAAGCAGGCCATAGCTGCCCTGAAAAAGTCTTATGATGGTGGACCTGACGGGATACCTTGATCATTTGTGAAATATGGAAGTAGAGAATTTCCACTATTTTGTTTGAAACTTTTCAATCTATCTATGGAATATGGGACCTATCCATCTGTATGGAAAACATCCCTTATCACCCCTAGATTCAAAACATGACCGTGTAGTGATATTATTAACTATAGGCCAATTAATGTGACGTCCGTGCTCTCAAGAACCATGGAAAAGATCATCCACAAACAGCTACTATCATTTTTACTTTTGGCTAGTCTGATCAGCCCATCCCAACACGGGTTTATGACTAAACGCTCATGTTTCACATCGCACCTGGAGTTTTTTGATCAAATTACCCAGAGAAGAGATGTTGGTCAGTCAGTGATAATTCTTTACTTCGATTTTAGTAAGGCTTTCGACAGTGTCTCACACAAACTTCTTCTTTTAAAACTCTCTTCATTTGGCATACAGAATCCCCTTTTATCTAGGCCATGACTCCGCAGTAGCAGCTACAAATTCAGCGGATGCATGTTGCCTCTAGCTCATTCTTAGGTGTAACCCCATTAGTTACTCTCTTAGGGTGCTGATGTTTTCAAGTTAACCTTGATACTTTGATACCGATTATCCAAGAACGATTTAGGCCTACTTAGTGAGTGGTAGTGAATTCTAACAGAATATAGATCTCCAAATCATAGGTAGTGTGGTATTTTGTCAAATGGCCGGAATTTATCTGAATAAGGGATCTAAGCTATCTTTTATGGTTCGCGGCAATGCGCTGTGGTTCTTAAGCTAAAAGTGTCAGATCATGCACAACCTACCCGTTAGGAAACCACTTTGTGACTTAGAGACAAGCGTTTGTGTTACCAACTAAAAAAGAAGGCCCAAGACAGAGTGAGTTGGAGAATGCAGGTGGGCGGCCTATGCTCCATGGAGATTAACGGGCGTAAGTAAGTAATGAGAATTCTCCTGCCTAAAAAGTATCTTGAGAAAAGAGAATTAGACCATGAATTCATACCATAACTATTCCTGCCGAAATTAATATAACTCAGTAATCGTGAAAATTATTTCATTTATTTCTCGTCCTTTCTTTTTATTGCTCACGTTTTCAGCCGTCTTAAAATAAAACACCGAAAACACCTGTGGAAAGCGCGACTTTGCCCTGCGCCATCATTAATGCTTTAGATGTTTTAGAAGGATATAAGGTCACGGTTAATAGAAGCTCTCAGCATTACGTAGATTTAATGTCGACAATCAGTTACACGTCGCTACGCGACCTTCATAAAGCGCGCTGATTCTCATGTTCACAATACGACCATTAATAATATTACTTGGATTCATATGCGAGAAGTGTTTTCCCCGTAGTACAATAAACAACGAACCATATGACATATTTACCTAACTGAGTAACCCACTTCAGTAAATACTATATCTTGTGCAGCAATTTGATCTTGCCTGTAAACTGGCATGCGCCACATAACAGGCTATTATCTGAAAATAAATTATTATTAATACCACATACTTTTCTGGGTGCAGTGTGTAATCATTTATACCTGGTTCTACATCTAGTGTAGTAAATGTGCTTAGCAACTTGTGCGATCGTTTTCTGTTGTCATTCTGTTATTTGTAGAGCGTGAACAGACCATCGTTACCTAAAAAACATAGCACGATGAAAAGTCTAGATGAGCATCTACCTGTTTACTGTGATAAGAACGAAAGTATTTCGTTGTACACTTTATAAGTGTCACGAATCCAGTTCCTGTTCCCTATATTTCTTGCTAGATTCGTTTATGTCGTGCTATCCGATGTATTTGGTTGATTGTACTCAGATATGTTGCGTTGTGGGTTCATGCTGTTGGGTGGTGCATATGCATTTGCACAGGATGCAAAGCGATGAAGAGTTTTGATTTGTTATGACTTGAAGTTGAGTCGATTTTTACCCCGTGCTAATTGTTGTGTCCTTGACTAAAACGTTTAGAGAGCAGTGTATTATAGATCGAATCAGTGACTCGTAAAACACTCACGAACGGCCTAGAGTCCTGATTAGTCCTGCTTCTATGTCTAGCCCAGTCAGTTGAGTTCAGAACACAAGTCACAGCCTCTGAGATATGAATCACTATATTTCAGACATACTCTATTTATATACCAATCAACCAGGCCACATCGTACCATATAATAAAAAACAACATTTGTACAATATTTAACAAGTGAAACAAATATTGGCCAATAGGGAATGTCCATTTAAAGTCCAAGGATACCATTAGACTTAACATGATAATTATTGGTATATTCCTCTGCATCCCTAACACGATTCATTACTTGATAGCATCAAAGCTCCATGTTTCCTTATTGTTACTCGTGTTTCGTGTCTCTTCGTGGCCTTCCAACTAGTAAAGGTGCCACAGGTATTCAGAGTTTGACAACACCGTTAGTCGTAACACCTTTACAATCAAGAAATATCGATCCAGTTAAGTTAGAAGTTAGGAATGAGTGAATTTGGAGATATATTTAGAAAGGTGATCGATATTGTTGAGAAGCGTTCGATCACAGATGGGGAATGCGCAGCTTGGCCTACCTACTCGTGAATTTGTGTGAATAATTGATCAAGCGCCTTAGGCTAGGGTGTGTTCAATAGAACTACGGTCAGTATCACTATTGAGTGCTTACAGAACTATTTATTTTGGAGTTGATTTACCGCTACAATGGGGTGATCGTCACTATCTAACCTGTTATGATTATTTCCTACATACATTTGTAGGGTGGCATCAGTACCTATTTTATTAGTGATTCCGTTAATATCTCAGTCTTCTGAGAGGTTGTCACCAAAGTGCCCTACTTATTCATTTAAGCTTTTTTCCACATCATGTATAATATTCAAAAATTTGGAGAATGGAATCCCAGTTTCGTGGTTGACATGTTGATTAGCTGTGGTTGTATTATCGTAGTTAGGTGACGCATGTTCCCTAAATAAATTTTTCTTAGTGTTGCCACCTGAAAAGCTAGATTTAGATCACTTGGATCTATTGTGCGTCACTTTCTCATCTGCTAATATATCTTCTGGCCCATTAACGCGTCGAAAGTACAAGGTTATGCAGATCACGGTAGTTGGAAAATACACAATTGTCACAACGAAGTATGCTAAATAAGTTAATTACAAGAAACACTACTATTTTAAACAGTAATGATGAGAGTTGTTCGAGGCAGTTAAACGTTTAACACGTGAAAATTAACGACAATTTTAGACAAATCGCGGTATATAGAGATATTATTGCACATGATTTTAGTCGATCAGGAGCGCGACATACTACTGATCACGGAAGCATGATCACATTCTTTTTCAAACTGATGTCACGTTCACCGTTTGATAACTTGCAGTTATCATCAGGAAAAACTCGTTAACGCTTTTACGGATTATTATTTAGCATACATACGCAGTAATTTAACATCGTGATTTGGTAGTTGTGAAGAAATCATTCTACAATTACGGGACAAACGACATAAATTTGTCTTAAGAAAATGAACATTGAGTTCTGTTATCTGTCCATCAGAAAGCAGAAATCACTAACGGATACGTATTGAGATAAGATATGCACAGACAGTTAGGAAGCTTAACTCATAATGATCAGTCACGGTGTCTTACTTATACATTTTAAATGGTGATAACAGACTAATCTGATGCTCGTGTTTATTCCAAAGCTGTTCAAAATGAATTTATAGAGACTATATAAAGGACAGAGATCTAGGAAGATAGTTGTATGGGGATGAGTGTCAATCATCAAACAATGGGAGGAGCCAGTTGAACCACTATACTGTGTATCTATCATTCCCATCAGCTCCGATGAACTACTTTATATTAAAGGCACAAAATGACGTCGTTTCAAGCCAGTCCAGCTATTAAAAGCAAAATATATATTAGCTTTCGAACACATTGTTGAGTCTGCTTACATACCCATACATGAAATATGAATAGATCATTTCGAATAAATTGAGCATTGAGTTGATTGTTTACTCTCTGAAGAAGTGACTTACACCAAGTTACGAAACATCAGAAAATATAATTTTCTACTCATTAAGATATTACAAATATATTATTTATTTGTGAATAAATCAGTGCAATACAAGTGTCTATTGGAATTTTGTGTACAACATATCATCCAATAACTCAGTATGTAGTAGCATTGGGTCCTAATACGAGAAAATGTGGGAAATATGCATTCAACGTTTAACACGGAGAAAAACCCAACGATGAAGGAGGCGGGAATAATAAATTGAATCGATTCGAATTGATCGAATGACATGGCTCGACCTTGAAGACGTGGTCCTTGCTGAATGTTATCTTATATCTTTTATTCATATTGAATATATTGTTCTGTCTCTAGTCTAAGCCTGTTCTACTTCATGCATTGGTAATTGTTACGATTCAGTGAATTGGTGTAAACCATGATGTGATTTCCCCGTAAGATCTTATAAATTAGGCAGTTATATCATGGCAAAAGTACAATTTTAGGATTAAATCTATTGTTAGAGCAGTACTAATATCATAGTAGACCATAGTTCTACAAATCCCCAATCGAGATACATTTTGGATTTTCATCTATGAGTTTTGAATTATTCATTATCATCACTAATGTGTCTAGTAGTCACGGCAAACGTTAAGGTTTATTTCATTTCAGCTATTCATCTAAGTAGATATTTAAGTCACTTAAACTAATCAAGTCACCCGTGAAAATTAACTTCGTACAGTTTCAACCGATTTATCTTTGTAAGTGATTATCTGTTGAGCAATGCAAGTAATCCAGTCGAGCTGTTGTTTCTTTAACACGTGTAGCCGATGTAGTACTTGAACTTACACCATCTGAGAGTAGTCGGTAGTCTGTCAAATCGTACGTGCTCACTCTACTCCAGTCAGAATATATTATATGAAAGTTTCGTGTAGTATTTTTGCGGGATGTGGAATGTCAAAAATCAACTGGACACAATAATCAAGATCATCTAAGATGAGAGATATCCGAAGCTTATCACAACAATTAGTCAATTCGTCACTTTCTATACATTCATTTGTCTTCCGTCTCTTGTTTACAAATATGCAGACAAATTTCTTAATTCAATTTCGCTCACACTGTATCACACTAATGACTGATTGGAAACTCGAGCACATTAACGATACTTTCATAAAATAGATTCATCGTAAAATCGGGAGTGTCTTTTAGCATCAAATGAAAGATGTAGCAGCTTTCTAAGGTTAACCAGAGTCGTTGTAATAACATTCTCTTAACGCTCAAAACAATCGATTTTGGTTTTCGTGCATTTCTTCAACATTCGCTCATTTCCAGGCATAACTCACTCATGTGTTTCGACTCTTCGACTGAATTAACATACATGTAAGAACTGTGAACTTGTTCCAAATCCTTTTCCTTCGCATAAACAATCATAATTTTAGAACGAATATTTTCGTTTTGTCAATAACCGACTTTAATTTGTCAATGTTGTTTCATGAGTCACGTCTATTCGGTAGTACCGTACAATTTCAGTAAAGAATTAACTAAAACATACATCAGTGAAAGTCGACAGATTTATAAGAATGTGAATATAAGTTATTAGCTGTGCATAAAATATTGAGCAGGATAATGTTAGACACCAAAACCTAAGCTGAATAAAAATGGCAGTGTAAAACTGAATCAAAGTTGATATGTAGTCTGTTGAAACAATCTCACTTCGTTAGTTGAATCCAGTCATGTTTATTTTCGGTCTAAACTTGTAAGCAGGTGCAACGAATTTGTTTTGCTCTATTTTGACTAACGCTGAACCGTTCCAGTAAGTTTTGGAAATTTCCACTACATCACCATACTTCAAATTTACCTTCATATCTGGAATGATCACATCAAATTTCATTCTTCTGTAATCCTCTTCATGGAATAACATATCGATTGAATGAATTAATTGTGTTGCATCACCCAAATCCACATGACGTGTTTGCATTAACTCATAGGCTAAACGACAGATCTAAGAAAAATAACAATAAGATTATATATGAAATATAAGGATATTCACTGAGATTATCTGAATATTTCATCAAATTTTGTGGATGAATTGCAACCACTGTGTTTTCATGGATCAAGATTTTGAATAAAATTTTATAAAACTGTAGACTCTAAAATAAATACATTCAGTTTGAGGTGGTGGAGATTGTTGAGTCTCATTAAAATAATGAACGGATCTAAGTTAGACAGCCATTAAAACCCGGCAGCATTGGACAGCTGTATCGTGCTAGTGTGGGAATCATTGGCATTGAGCACCCAAGACTCTGCACTCGGGATTCAAGGCCAGCACCATCGGTGCTCACTAGTGACTAGCTTCCAGAGGTAACACGTTAAAAACAGTTTTCCACGACATGTGAAACACATTGAAACAGAAATCTCCATATATATATATATATATATATCAACTGCTACGCATCGCTTATCGAATAAACTTTTCAAAAATGGCGATGTAGTTATTTCATTCTCTGTCGGGAACAACAATCACAGGCAGGAACTGATACAGGAATGCTCAAAACATTATTCGCTCTCTTCTTGTTATAGCCCAAAGCCGCCAATCAGAAGCAGCGAATTACCGATCGGACCAAGGATGCGTTAAACACGTGCGAGCAGCCTAGAGTCCTGGTCGGTCCTGCTTTCCGCCTAGCTCAGCCAGTTAAGTTCAGAACACCAGTCTCAGCCTCTGCAATATGAATCCTTATATTTCAAACATAATGAGTTTATATACGAATCAAACAGACGACAAAGTAGCATAAAATAGAATATAACATTTGTACAAAGTTTGGTCAAATGTGCATGTGAATGGGGGAGGTAGTGATTAACAGACAGGGTATAATTCAATAATTGTGAAACGTAAAATAACAATTTATGGGTCAAAATAAAGTTTATAATAAGGGGATATGAATATGAATAGTTTAGTTATTTACCAATTATACTATAAAAATATACGTTTAGTATTGGTCCATAAAAAGGATCCCAATGTTGCCATTCATTATGTTTATCGGGATCTAACACTACTTCAACTTGTAACTATAGATTCGTCATAGTAACTAATTCGGAATAAATAGTACGGCATTTGACAAGAGAAAATTCACAATTATATTTTAATGAACACAATCTAAATGTTCTGCTGATAATATTTGAAGTAGACAGACTACTATACGCTTTATTTTACATTATTTTGAATCTAATATTGATTGCTTTCTAATTCTATGATTTCCGATCAAATGATTTTAGCGGAATAAGTCACCATAGAACTGAATGATAAAAGACCACTATATTTCTCGGTTATTACTAATCAACGATTTCCATTCAATCTTGTGGTAATAACAACTTCACTTCTGTAAAAATCATTGTGAATTCTGTATTCAAACTTGTTTGTTTACTTAAAATTCCAGTCAAAAGAGACAACGTGTAATATTGTCGTCAATACAAGTCAACATATATATTACTTACATTCGATGAAAATGTACACACAAGGAAATCCGTCATTGAAAGTGCAATGATGTCAATGATTGCATTATTCAATGAACTAACTGACATCCGCGTACTCATATTAGCTGACTGCGATCTACTTTGACTACCATAAACAGTGTAGTTTGGATAACTGTATGTCAGTTGAGTAAAAACATTCGGATCATCTGTCGACAAGTAAACACTTTGCTTAGCCTGAACAGGATTTTCTCTTCCAATGATTCTTTTAGAAACTGATCCAAATGTCTCCACATTCATGTCCTAACAGTTTTGAAAATGACAAATTAGATTCATTCCGTATAATAATAATAATAATAAAGTAGTCGGTCTGAATACGAATTGATACAATTATATATAATAGAACATTGAAAACATTTCTTGTTCTCATGACACATAATTCCCACTCATTCAAACCGAACTCTTAAAAACAAAAAAATGTGAGTTCTTCGTAGTCCATAGTTTGCATTGAGCTAGACTCAATTAGACAGGAGTGGAAAACTAGGGTGTATAGGACAGCTATCTCGTTTTATTAAGGGTCTATATCAATGACCCCCTTATAGAATAAACTCAGTAAATCTCAGCACCACAAATAAAGTCCAACCTTTAGACAAGTGAGCCAAGATCGATTGCTGAACCAAACATGCCCACTGCTCACACACTTTTAATGACCGTCAACCTGAGATTGAGCTGTAATGTAAACAATAAAACTTCACAGCCTCAAATCTACAATAACAAGCAAATATTCCACAGCATTTCGCTTTACATGTTTACTAACAAATTGTTCTCAAATAATCTTTAATTAATATTTAGCACTAAGTCACTACTGTTTCTCATAGAACCGATATCATAACGTTGAGTCATTGTATGTTAATATTCTGAAAAGCTTTCAGGATAATGTCAGTGCTTCCCGACAAAACTTTCCATGTTTCCTTCATACTACAATAAATGAGTATAAGTGCCAGAATTACATTTCTCAATGAGTCAGATTAACTGAATGTAGCAGTTTTTATATTTATAAAACCTCATTATCAAAACATGCAGACAACTAACCAGTTGACATTATCATGCTCATCTTGCTCAGAATACCGATTAACTTTTATATAGTGCAACTTTGTACTGATTAGCTGGGCAATTTAGCACAGCATAATGCATTCGTCTACAGTAAACCTACTGGGATGTTCAGTAGATTAGTTAACAATTTGCAGAGGTACACATATTCAAATGGAATGAATAACTGAAGGTTTTGATACTAGTAGGTTAATTCATCGACAAAGTGCATTTGATCTGATTGATTTGCTAAAGCAATATCTTATTACATCTTCATTATAACGTTTTAAAATCACGGAAATCATATGACATGAAGACTGACTTATAACAGTGGTTACATATTTGGCTAGCAGTGGAATCCAGGATGCGCGTTTCGTCCTATTTGGGACTAGTCAGCTGGATGTACCTGCAAGCTTGTGACCTAAGATAATATCGATGCAGTCCGCACACGATGCGCATATGGCAACAAGAGACTAATCACTTGCAGTCTTAGATTACAATGGGGAAATAAAAGTGAACAACACCATGAACGATTCCGTAGTTTAATCCATCATATAAATTCCTTATGATGTCGACTACCTTATCAGGAACGTCACAGCGTCGAAGAAGCCTCTATAGTGTTGTCTTGTCCACTCTATCAAATGCTTCCTCGTATTCAATGAAGATGATGTAGAGTGATGAATTCCATTCAATTGATTGTTCCACAATCATCCGTGGTGTTGTGATTTGGTTGCTTCACGATAGATCCTTATAGAATCCAGCCTGTTGATCTGGAAGTTGAGCGTCTACGGAAACCTTCATTCTGTTTACCGACACCCTATTGAAGACTTCTCTTGATATTGAGAGAAGAATGATGCCTCTGTAATTGTCACACTTACTGAGGTCTCCTTTCTTTGGTATTCAGAGAGCTTCTTTGTTGCATCAAATCCCTCATTTGCACCCTTCTCCGTCGTCGTTGCTAGACCTTCCACATATTTACGTTTATGTGGGTATATATTGACACCTATGATAAGTTTGTTGAAGGTATATAGATTTGCAAATCTCTCATTAATTTTGTTCCTTTCTCCTAGTCCATGTCGTCCCATAATGTCCTCATATCCGGTATTATTCATTACAACTTTGGCATTTAGGTCTTCCACCAAAACGGTCAAGTCCGTTTTTGGGCATTTTTCAACGATTGACTGTAGCCTATTGTAGAATTTATCTTTAACGTATTCATTGTAGTCGTTCGTAGGCGCATAGCAATTAATGGCATTTATTGTAATGCTCTCTTTCTTTGTTTTGAAGGAGGCTTTGATGATCCTAGGTCCAAGAGATTCACTATTGTTTCTAACTGTCAAAAATCATTAAATTTCGTCCATGAAACGCTATATTACATTACAGTTCATGTTCTTGTGGTTTACAAACTTGTCCATAGAATACCATCGCACATGTTCTGTGCCTCAAAAATCTGTTCCTTTCATATCATGAAAAGTATGGCCATGCATATCAGTAAGTTCATTTTTTATGCACATAAATTGTACTCAATTACTTTGACTTTCTACTTGAAAATGCATGTGTTATGAATTTAGGTTGCTGTCAATTTTTACCCTGTGCTAATTGTTGTGTCCTTGACTGGAAAATTAGAGAGCAGCGTACTTATCGATCGATTACAGTGACACGTAAACACAGACGGACAGCCTAGATTCTCGATTGGTCTCGCTTCCCTGTCTAGCCCAGTCAGTTGAGTCCAGAACACAAGTCACAACCTCTGAGATATGAATCATTATATTTTAAACATACTTTGTTTATATACCAATCAAGCATACCACATCGTACCATAAAATAGAAAACAACATTTTGTACAATATTCAACAAGTGAACAGATATCGACCAATAGGAAATGTTCATTTTTAAGTCCAAGGACACCATTGGACTAAAAATGATAATTATTGGTCTATTCCTCCGCATCCACAACAGCATGTAATTTTAATCCTTCCAGTTGCACTCAATTTCAATTTTATCATTCACTTCTTACCTAATCTGTTTAAGTCATTGAATCATCTAATTATACGTGCATCCATTTTACGAATTATGTATTCTTATCATTAGGGAAAACACTGAGATCCATAGTTAAGCTGATCAACTATCATTTACCTACTACTATACTACATACTAATGAAGAACTATAACTCAAAAAACTCACTTGAACAGAATACATCTTAATTCAATTTACATTTGATTAAGTACACATCATAATGGATAACACACTCACTGTGATTAATCATGAATTGAAATGTGATCAATTAATTAACGAAGTTTCATTTATTGATTAAATACAACTGAGATAATCTTATTGACTTACATGTCTCTTTGACATAGTCAAGAGATTAACACTTTGTAAATCAAAGAAATTATCCACGTGTTCCATGTACTCGGATAAGTCATGAAACTTAGCCTCCAATACTAACTATAAAAAAGAGTACAAGTGCAAGATGTGATTATTAGAATATTCAATTCCGAAAATATTACACTATATTTGTCAATGACAAGATGCTCCAAACTGAACTTCCTTACATTTTCATAAACTTTATTCTTTATGAAGTATTTACACCAAAACCTTTAAACTTGATATTGCTACTCAATTTCTATAGTAAAGTCAGCTGGCAAACTGACCCTTGATACACTATTCTCTCATATGAATTTCGTTTAACTTCAAATTTATTTGACAAAGATCATTGAAAACAATTGAGATTCAACCGATACAAGTAACTTGAAACTGAGTATGCGGAAAGATAGACCACACTAGTTGAATACTCACTTATAGCAGCGACAACGTACTGACGCAAAAACATGATATTTACAAAAATTATCTAAAACAGTAAAGACATTAAAGCATCACAGGGAAAAGAATCCGGATGCATCTTGGAAAAATGGTTTGATACAAAATATCAACAAGGTATGTCTGTTAAAGGTTACGTCGAATAAAAAAAATAGAATTCGATGAAGAAAAGTTTTTTTTTGACGAAATGATTTACTTAAGCTATACATTCGTATATAGAGTAATGGGTTATTTTATTAATGTCACATACAAAATCAGTACCAAACTTCAGCAAAGGGTGAAATTTTACTCCATCCGAATAACATTCGCAAGATCACGAATAGCTTTGTAAGACTATAAGAAGTAAGTACAGCCCATAAGCCGGTACAATATTTATTGTAAACACCCACAGCTACAATGACAAATAAATACAAGGAAAACATAAAACACAAGAGAAACTGCGACAAATACGACACAGTGAAAAACCGTCACACTTTCAGTCCATTCCTGTATGGGCGTTGGTTAGCCGTTATTCGCCTTGACGTAGATGTGCTTATATAAATGCTTGTGGATAATTTTTAGCGTAAATCAAATTGGGGAAATGTCCGAACTTCGACAGAAGAAGCACAAAAATCTCAGGGAAGTTTAAAAAGCCTGAAAATTTATTCAATCAGCAGGTACATCGAAATCAACCAAATCTATCAACCAGTATTCTGTTGAGCAGGATGATAATGATTTCTGAATGACCATCCCAGTTTTCAAAAGTAGTTTAATCCAAAGACAAAACTGAAAACGTGTCTTTCATTCTCAACATTCACTGTTTAAATTCCGAACAATTAAGTGCATCATAATATATTCTGACAACGTATATGAACAAACACCAACCTTATCGGTACGCCTGATATGCACGCCAACAACAGGATCACCAATGGTTTCAAAGCTCCTCAAGGTTACATTGATTAATTGTGCAAGTTGTGGCTTTAGACGCATAATGTAGGCTGCTAGTTGACCACCAAACCAAACAAAGGGTGCCTCATGTAAACGCAATAATTCTTCACTCATATCATTCGGGAGAACATCTGGCAACCATTTATGATTGGTGAAAGCATTTTGAATATAAGGACATTCGATGTTATCTGAAGTAAACAAGGGAATGGAAATATTTATTAAGCTTGATAAGTTGTAGTTTGTAGATTGACTGCCTACCAACCAAACATTATAGCTGATTTGTGAGGCGAAAGCTTACTCAGTCGTAAAAAGTGATTGAATATGATTTTATCCATATTAGGAGGAGCAATGGAACATGAAATATTACCAATAATAAGGTTTGTTTACCCGCTCTTTCACGTAGATAGTAAACAGCGTTATGTTATTTGATGGGTTCTAGTCAATGATTTATTGTATCGTGTTGTTTTGTCGAAAAGTAAATAAAAATATTTAAGTAAACAGTTCAAGACAATCACTGGGGTCTGACATTTACAATAAACTAATGATAAATACATCGTTTACACACCTGATCTATTATCTGAGTCCAAGTAACTGCATTTGTCAGAAAGTGGTAACATGCTCTGATGAAGCCATTCTCGAAATGGGTCTCCAGAATGATGTTTCTTTAATACAAAAACACGCTCATTTTCAAGAGCCAATTGTAAGCAGTACATGAGTTGATGAATGCGACAACCCAATCCACATATATTAGTGAAGTCTAATGTTACATATTTGGCCTTTTTACAATCTGACGGATTCTATATGTATATGATCACAAGGTAAAATCCAAATTTTGATTTATTAATAAGAATCAAACACATTGTAAAATTGATTAACAACAATTTCATAGATACAAATATTAAAATGATCTAAAGGTACTCAATCAGTCAACAACAATGTCAAACTTCGTATGTATACACATCAGTTCAAGTTGTCATACCACATTAGAACATTGATTGAACTGTCAATTCAAATCGCATAGTGGTAGAGATAGCAAGAGTATAAGAAGTTATCGGAAACATTAGGGTTTGAAAATGTTATTCGAAGAGTATAATCTAGTGAATTAAATTTGGAGAGAAAAAAGAGACAAGGAGAATCCAGGAGATTAAAATTCAGAAAAATACAAGGAGTGAATGCTCCTGCGTACACCATTGAAAACGGTTTTGAGCCGTATCATTCAAGGTCTCTAACGTTCGATTGCTATCGTCTCGCGGATCCGACCAGGCAGTTTACACCTACCAACATGATTCAGTCCACTTGTCAGCGACTTCATGGATTTGTGACAGGTTTTGGTCTGGCCGCCTCCAGATTTCTTTGCCGTCCTTACCTAGTACTCGTCTCCTAACAACTGTATTACTTACTCACTATAATGATCTGAAGGATGGTGATGATTGTCAATAATTTGATTCAGATACAAAACATTCTGAACCTGTGTTTGTAAGTTCCCTTGATCGTATCTGATAACCTTTTGAATATGAGTTGAAACCTGCGAACTGTGCTGGTGATGATGTAATCAACTGCTTGATATCATACCTTACTGATACAAAATATCCAACGAAATTAGAAAATTTAAAGTATTTGTGTTTTAGTTTGCGATCGACAGATTGTCGTATGGGTGACAGTGTAGTGAACGAGAACACAAATGGGAATCAATCAATCAAATTTGGGAACCATACAGCAGATTCGTCATTTACAAAATTTCAATCAATCGTCTCAAAATTCATTGTTTCTTTGCTTTCACACCAATCACTTTCTATTCTCGCCCTGTTTTTTTCATATCTCCTCAGCCTTCTTCCACCAGGCATTTCACTTTCGACCCATGATACATACTACTTGTTTCTGTCAGCACCAGTAGCACACAACACAACAGTGCACAATGGTTGCTGTTGGTTCACACACCAGCATAGATAGACAGATAGATATCGCACCCTTCATATATATTTTCCTCCTTACTTCTTTTACAAGTTTAAAAACTTGACTTATTCCAAAGTGATACAAAAGTAATAAATTCTAACCTGTTGTTTTTGAATCTTCTCCTGTAATCGCTGTGAAAGCTTATTTAAGCCATTCGCTCTGATTTGTGAAAATGCATCTAATTCACCTAGTTTGTTAAGTATAGTTTGCAAGTGTGAAATAGTTCCCTCCATATCCTGTTGATAGTGAATTAATGATGTTTGTATCGATGAAGTTGTTTCAGTGTCCAATTCCTTTTGATTAACTTTTTTTAATTGGGTAAAAATGTTGCGTAAATTGTTCAAAGTGTATCGTGCTTCATGAACGTAATTCAAAGCACGACGCCTAAGTGTCTCATGAGAAATACCGATCCGATCTACATCTAGAATAAAAACATTAAAGTTAAATATTTCACCTTATTATCATTATTATTACACACAATACAAACTGAAAATTTCGGTGAGACTATAATTTATGGAAGAATCAATCAGGTATGAGACAATAGGTCACGGATAACCCTCATTTGGTACCAGTTATTAGGCAGACATTCAATGTCACTCTAGTATCGTTCAAAGATCGTTCACAAATTATAATCTCATCACCAAATAACTGGCATGCTACATGAGTGTTCAAGGATGTGAGAAGTACTGTCAACGTCGTTTACGTAGTTAGCTTGTAAAGCCTCGAATCAGGTACAATAGAAATTCATAATTAACATCAGCATTTGCCGAATCAAGTTAGTTTCCAGTTAAACTTTTTGCATAAGACCACTTGCACTTTTACTTTAGTGTAAATACTGATGATATGTACATGGAGAAAAGAGATTGACTGATCTCGCTAACTTTCTAACATGACGTCTATGGAAGGGTGGCATGTGTTGATGGAGTGTAAGATATCTTCTAATTCAAAATTATCGTCAGAAATGACAAATGCATCGTCCATGTATCTTACGTATATAAGAAATCAATTAATCATCATATCAATATGTAATAGAAACATTATACTACTAGATTGTATACATTATTTATACCACTTTGACCTTTATTAACCTTCCCTTATTGTAACAAAAACATTTTAATCGTCATACTACATTCACGTTATAATTCGTTACTAACTTATTAAAACCACTGTTACTATTTCTATTACGTAATCCAATGTTATAATTCTTCTATTACATCATCTCCATTATTTCTTGTTCACATGTACTCATGGAACTAGTACTTTTATATGTAAACAACTGTAAAGTTTGATAAGCAATTCGTTGAAAAGAGATCACTTCGCTAAACTTCGTGTTTTTATTGTCTAAATCAGAATTATCTGTCAAATATTGATGAGACGTATTGACACTAAGGACGACTTACTGTACTTACTGACAATATTCAGTATTGTTGGGGATGTTAGATCCTCAAAACGCATTTGATGAATGCCTTTTGTTGATAATTCTATTTTTTTAAAGTTTTTAATCTTTTGTTTTCGCACCAAAAGCACTCATTTTCATCTTCATGTCATATTTCTCACTTCGGAGCACTTTAAATGTCATAGGTTTATTATCTCTTTTTATATGCCATTTTGTACAGTTTCCCAAGGACATTTTCATCCTGTATATATATGCTTAAGTTGTGTGCTTTTTGTTGCTCGTGCTTCTGACTATTTGTGGAATACATTACCCCTCTTTGAGCTTGGACTGATATCCACCTTGAGCCCCCCTGTGTCTAGTACAGGTCCTAAGTCCGGATAAAGGAGGAAGATTAGGCATGTGTGTGGCAAAGTGCAATAGCCTCCATGTAAGATAAATATATTTTATATTTTATTAGACAATACATAACTCAGATTGGAAATAATCAAATCTCTTCATCAGTTCACTATCGACTTCTCAAACATTGAAACTACACACTATAAATCATTCCAAAAGTTACTTCTGTTTCAACTTCCAGTGATTTACTTTAATGCACTGCTATAATATCTAGAAGGCGATCATTCACAAGCAATCTACATAGAGATCATTTCACTCATATACGTATGCAGATATATTTCACATTATAAGAAAAGTAAGAGGAACTTTTAAAGATATGAAATGATGAAAGTCCAATATTTTGTTGAACCCAGTACTGAATAAAGCCACTATTATTGTTCTTATTACGTGTATTATTGAACAATAAATAATAAAACCTACTTCTTATCTGATCCTCCTTGATTAAGACACTTTCACTGAAATAGAAAAGTTAAAAGTTCCTTAGTATTATCTAATAAAAGCTAAATTTTGTATGATTGTTGTTATGGTGATGTTAGTTGTTCTGTTGATGTATGGTTTCCTGAACTACATCGTTCAATAGAATAATACAGATAACTAATAATACATAAATAAGAAATTTTAATAAATTCCATGACAACGAAATATGAAATTGTACTCATTCTTAATGTCTATTCATACTATGAATTCATTGTTCAATACTTTGTTCTCGTTGTCAATCAAGCTATAGTTTCCTTCTATAAACAATCAAACAGTCTCAAATGTAAAATTAGATTCGTTGCATTAGAAATGATGGTTAATAATTAATATAGATTTATGGATGATCAATTGTCTTGGCAATATAGAATATATGTACAACATGTGACAGTTTAGGCATCCACAGTTTTACACATCTACAGAAAGCTCATAAACATTCCCAGTAAAGACACTACTGGATATCCCGAAAACAATAGTTAATTAAATTAACAGGTACCATGATGATACATTGTTTACACAAGCTTGGATGATTAACTACTAAATATCAAATGATGGATTATAAAGTAAAGGTGTAAGAAAATACCTAGTTGGTTAATCCACCAAAAAACAAACTACATACTGGAAGACTAATTATCTAAAAGTGAACTTATGTTAGGCAACAATTTTATCCATTTGATAACTGAGACGACTTCTTAACTCACTCCATCATGAATACTTTTTCAGTACCAATGAAATGACTATGGAAGTGGATAGGAAATACACTAGGCAAATCGTCAAACTGGATCACGAGGCAAGTCCTAACTTGGAATTCGGAAGAAAAGCGGAAAACAGGAAGTTCAAACAACACATTACGTCGGGAAATAGAAGCAGATATGAAAAAGATGAAAACAACTGGAAGGAGCTGGAAAGGGTTGCCCAGGACAGGGTTGGATGGAGAATGCTGGTGAGCGACCTATGCTCCTTCACGAAGAGTAACAGGCGTAAGTAAGTAAGTAAGGAACCACTGAAAAAGCTAATTGTTCTTAAAATATTCAGAGTTGTGTATAATAATAAAAGAAGTGATATTTTCATATACCTGAGGTCAAATAATCTAGGATGAGAAATCTCATCTGTGATCCAATCCACTCCTTCACTAGTAACTGCTATGTTATCGACCAGACCTTCACGGCATAATTCCGTTTTCGAGAATGTCTTCTTTCTGAAGTAATCTCTTATACAAAACATCAAAACTGGCAATAGAGATAACCATACAAAAACGAGGAATTTGAATTCATATTTTGAATATCTGGATGAATGAATGAATAAACTATGAAAATATCTCACCGCATGATTTCGTATTTTGCCCTTCACAAAGTCCTGTGCTTTTCTTCTTCAATAGTCAAAGAGGAAATTGAGACTCAACCTGAAATAAGTAAACAAGAAGAGAAAGAGAGTATCAGCCAGTTACAAATACACAGCGTAGGACGTAGTACATTGGTTTAAGTTCCCATTCCCCATTAAGACAGAAAGATAAAATCGTCAGAGCAAATCCCAGAATAATAGAGGCAGTAACAGTACTCCTATTAATGGAAAAGACTGAGCATCAAAAATATGATTGGAAAAATACAAACTAGTGAAACACGTTTTTTGGAGGAATTTACAAAGTTAGGACCTTTGAGGAGAAAAAGGTGAATGCACATGTGCCATAGCAAAAGATTTTGATCCATGTCATCTAAAGTCTTTAACCCTTAATAAATATAATTGATTGTCCGAACTTCAACTAGGTAATCTACACCTGTTAACATGGATCAGTTCAATGATCAGCCACTGCATGCACTGGCTACGTGTTTTAGTTTGACCACCTTGGTTTTCTTCTAACCTACTTCTACACCACCAATCATCAATCGTATCAGATTTGCGAATCGCTTGGGTTTGCCGACCCTCCTAATTTACCCGTGCTTGGGACCGGTAGTAGCGCTAGAAGAGCTACAGGCGGAGTTTCATATTCATCTACCTGCATTTAAATTGTAATTGAAACATAATCGATATGCCTTGTCTTTAAGAACTAATTGATAACTGAATAATGGAGGCATCTATATCGCATGTAATGACCTCAATACAACAGTTATGTCTATTCAACCTTTAATAAATTAGTCACCTTAGGATATACCTTCTAAAATAGAACATCTACTCGTTATTTGCCTTCGTTTTTAGGTTTGATTTCTCACTAAAACGACTTTAATTGCAATCACTCAAACAGATCCATATAGATTCAAATACGTCCTAGTGATTTCAGATAAGAAGTTTTTTGCTACTTGTGTCAAAAAATAACAGATTCAAATGTTTTGCGTATTACTAATAATATATTCTTGCATAAATTTATTGCTAAATTAGGTATACCATTGAGAATATGATTTATAATTAGTGGGAGCATGGCTACTAACCCGCATCTATAATATCATTACAAACCATCGTCAGCATTGAGCAAGTTGTTACTAAGCTAATTTAAACGTATAGAATTTTTAGTAGACTGCATCGACTAATGTTTCATGTTCGTGCTTGCGATACTAGACTGCTAAGTGACTTAGCAAGTTGTTACTTAGATTTGTAGAGGCTCATGAAAACATCAACATTATCGAATAAGAGACAGTAGTAACCATGAGAATAAATGTTAGTGGGCGATTGGATTAATATATAAAGCCAATAGCGTAACTAATGGTCCGAAACATTATAAATAGCGTTAACTTGGACAAAATACGTAGTAAAATTAGCGCATTCACGTACTTATTATGAATGAAACCAAGAAGAGTACTTCATATAACATCACAAAAGTTATCTTATCGTCGTAGATAAGTATGAGGTGAAATAAAATGAAAATGTAAACGAACTCACTTTAAACAATAAAATGTTTGAATTGATGAATCATTATGAAAGATATATCATTGCATTAGGTCTAGATATTCTTAATTTAGTCACCTAAATTTAATTTTTAAGGATCGTGGATGCGCACTGCTGAGGAGTCCCATACTAAGACGAAACGGCCGTCCAGTGCTTCCAGGTTTTCAATGGTGGTCTAGCTTCAACTGACTCAAGAGTTCAATCTGTGAAAATTTCTAAAATCTCCACAAAACCCATTCTGATATTATTAAAAGGATCAAATTTTAACTTTAAGTTTAATTACAATTCTGTTTTCTATAATACTAAAACATGAATTATCCAATCCCATTAGTTGATCATCTCCGGACTGATAAGTTTTGCTCGTTGAACGCTATATTCGGTTCCTAAGCTATTCTCGCAACCCCCAAGCTAGAACTACACAGCGATTTGAACACGAGAGAAAAGGCGCAAAATATGCGAGAAGCACTTTAGTCCAAAGGTTCGTTTTAGTGCAGAAAATATTGGGTTTTTACAGTATTTTAGATGTCGTTGGGTTTCCCGAAGATTCTGGAATGCTACTAAACACAGTAGCAGTATAGTAATCAGCCAATTAGGAACTCTACATGTGATTTTTCATTTTCTTCATGATTCCGGCTAAAACTTCAAATGAACGTTGATTAGATGAAATGTTTCTTAGTGTTTTATGAGCATTTCTTATTTTTTTGTGAGATGTTTTATGGATCACCCCAACACAGACAATGATGAAACCACTGTATGATCTACCTTTAAGATTTTCAGAAGAGGTTTTATGGAGGTTTTAGAAATTTCAATAGTCGGAATCATGAATCAGTTGATGCTAGACTACTATGAAAAACCTGGAAGCACTGGACGACCGTTTCGTCCTAAAATGAGACTCCTCAGATGAACTGGTCGAAGTTAGAGAGTAACACCGTTGGATGCTGGCCGACTCAGTGGTCTAGTGGTTAAACGCTCACGCTCGAGACTCACAGGTCCTGGGTTCGAATCTCGCCAGGCGGGGTCGTGGATGGGCACTGCTGAGAAGTCCCATACTGGAACGAAACGGCCGTCCAGTGCTTCCATGTTTTCCATGATGGTTTAGCTTCAATTGACTCATGATTTCAACTATTGAAATCACTTTAGAACTTTATAAATTTTTAAATATTTTAAAAACTTTTGAAACGATATGGAAGCTAAATTAAATATTAAATAGCTTTTTTCCTTTTTTCATTATCAATACGTTGATTTTATTTATATTAAAAAAACTATTTGAAACTAAAAATACTGTACATACATAATGTCCATATAAAACGCTTACGATCTATCTATATCAGGATGAGAGTTTGTGGAAATGGTAGTAATTTTATACTTGAATTCATGAATTGTGGATTGGTTGAAGTTGGACATTAGCACTGTTGGATGCTGGCTCAATGATGTAAAGGTTAAGCGTTTGTGTGGGAGACAAAAGGTGTTGCGTTCGAACCGCGCCTGTGGAATCGTGAATGCGCACTAATGAGTAGCCCCATACTGGAACGAAACAGCCGTCTATTGCTTCCAGGTTTTCCATAGTGGTTTAACTTAAATCGATCCAATTATATAAATATATAAGGTCATCTCCGATGGGAAGCAAAATTCAAAATCATGAATTCAAAAGAATTCACCTAATTTTCACGACGAAAACATGTACTATGTAATAAAGATTACCCTTCAGACTAATATTATATTTTATTACAATTACGCTACATTCTTGCCACATGAAGTGAGTACTGATGATACTTCCCAGAATATTACAAAAGTCTATTAAATGAAACCAATTACCTTAGAGAGTTCAACATTATCATTACAGAAAATATTTAATACAAATAGTAATAAATCATTTCCAAAACTTACCATTCGACATAAATTGAGTGTTTGCTTTTTATATGGAGCACCATTCTGAAATAAAGTCAAATTAATTTAATTATTAATATGAAAAAACTTATAGAAAATTATGATTTTTAAGAGCTACTACTTTGGTTATTAAGAAATACTTTCAATAAACTCATCATACATAGTTGTTTTTGTTTAGGTTAACAACTTCAACGTCAGTTCTGCGCAAATAAGTCATTAAACCTGAGAGAGCTGAGAAGTTATGAGTTTTCAGTAATCAATGTATCATTTGATAAGTTAATCTAAATTCATAAATTCAAACTTGTATGCATCAGCTTCATTGATTTTTGTCATTGTTCAGTTGACTAACTAGTGACTACAATCTTTCAAGGTATAAATCCATATCAGTGTTTGGATAAGTTAACTCTACTGGCTATCATAAGTAAGAACTCACTAAACCATCAACGATTTCATCCAATTACTTTTCAATATTTTCAGTTTGGAGTTGTGGAGATTGTTGAATGTCATTGAAATCATGAAGCGATCAACTTTAGACCACTATTGAAAACGTAGAAGCATTAGACGGCCAGTACCCCCTAGTATATGATTCCTCAGTAGTGCACAACCACAATCACGCACGCGGGGTTCGAACCCAACATCTTTGGTCTCGCGCGATAACACTTGACCACTAGACCACTGGACCCACATCCAATGATATCAATGTCTAACTTCAATCAATCCACGATGTCGTCCGACCAGTGAAGTTCAACTGTGTTAGGTGTGAGGCAGTTACCAACCGAAGACAATGAAAGATGGGCATGTGACATCGTGGATTGGTTGAAGTAAGACATTAACACCGTTGAATACCGATTCAATGAACAGGGGTTTAGCGTTCGTGCACAAGACCGAAAGTGCCGGGTTTGAAGCCCGCATGCGGGATTGTGGATGAGCACTCCAGTATTCTCTACTGTTTAGTTCATTTACCTGTTCATCAATCAGTTAGTCACTAACGAATATATTACATCTCATAATAAAATATGTAAAATAAGAAATCATTTATATAACTAACGGGACGATCAGCATGGACTTCAGTGTTAAATTGAAGTTAATAATATGATTTCGAATGATAAATTTATGCAGATTCTCTTGATAATCAATCTAACTCCTTTTGTTATATTCGAATTCAGTTACAAAATCTTAAACAACCTTATTTATCATTAATTGTTATGCGGAATAATTAAACTTTAATATGACAGAACTGGATTTTACTTACTGTTACAATGAAATATTTCAGTAATTAAAAGGTGAATTTATTTATATTTTTATCATTATTATTTGAATTTGGCAACATATATGGAACTTAATAATATTAAGCTGTCTATGAGAATTGAATATGATGAGTTCACTTCTATCTAGAATAATGGTTGCTCAAATATTTTAAATATGTTATGATCGACATCAAACAAAGATTTTTTTTGACATGAAATTATGAAAACATCTCATTTCCATATCATAAAGTGTTAAATGAACAATAAAGTATAAAACAAAACAATAATTAACTTTTCAATTTACGTAAAATATTTCAATAGTTGATATCATGAGTCAATTGAAGCTAGACTACAATGGAAAACGTGGAAGCACTGGAATGCTGTTTCGTCCTATTGTGGGACTCCTCAGTAGTGCGCATCCACAAAACGGCCGTCCAGTGCTTCTAGGTATTTCATGTTGGTCTAGATTCAATTGACTCATGATCTCAACTATCGAAATCCACAAAATTCCTTTTGATGTTATGTAAAAGATATTTGGTTATCCATTTTTATTGACAAATATGATGATGATTGTTATTTTCATTTTCAATGAAATTCATTGTTTGCAGAAAAAACAAGATGCATAAAATGTTAAATAGTAATTCGTAATTTATACAAAGATCAATCGATAGAAACAAGAAACTATTAAATGACATTTACAGTATCCCATTTGATTTATTATTGAATAAGTAATTTTACAAGTTTTGAAATAAATAAAATTAAGATGATTAATCGATTAAAATGTAGTTAATAATGTAAGCTTTCTGAATAATATCGTGGATAAGGACTTTTGAGAAGTTTCATACTACGACGAAATGGTCATCCAGTGATTTTAGATTTACAATAGTGGTGTAGTTTAGATTGATTGATGAATTCAACTAATAATAAAGTATAGGTGATTACATATTGTTTAATCAATTGTAACTAACTTTATACTTTAATTGTGAGTAAACATGAAGACAACTCGTTCAATTGTTTAAACGAATCAAACGATAATAGAAAATAGTTTTTAAAATTTTTTACTTACAAATCATTCTTTAATTTCAAAATTGATGTGAAACACTATTAATATATAACAAGCTGAATACTTTGTTTGCTTTCTTATGGTCTGTTATCATGCCAACAGGACCTAACTCAAATCTTTTTCGTCCTAAGTTACTGTGTATAGCTTGATAGCTTGATTCAATGAGAGATATATCATGACAGAGCACAATCATTAAGATATGAGAGCTTAATTTTATATTTTTAAAAAGAGTCAATTAAACGTTTAGTAAACATGCCGAAAACCTAAAAGAAATGATGAATTTCATTCAAGTATGATATAGCGAATGGCTGTTAATTTTGTAACATACATCTATTACATAAACGTCAAAAGAAATAAGTAAACCTCCTGAAGTTTATGTAGATTATAAAAAAGCACTAATTGTATCTACATATTAGTCTGATCATGTTTAATTATGATCATTTATATAATGTATACCTTCTTAGATATCAAATGTCAATTGAATAAAAGCAATATAACCATTCATTCAACTAGTATATAGCGTTTAATGGTCCATAATCAACAAACTGCAAGTTAATTCTATCTAGTCGTTTGAAAAGAATAACTTTATTTTCTTGACATTGAGAAGCTCATCAATAAACATTCTTGGTTGAGACTATAATTTATGGATGACCTTTGTGCGACGCTAAAAAGACCTTGAGAATGTCC